TTTACTTATTATTAAAATTTAGTTTATTATTAAAATTAAAATCAGACTTTATTAAAAATAATCGCAGCGATTTCACTTGCATTTTAAAAAAAAAGTTTAATTTATGTTTTTAATTTAACTTTGAGTAAAAAAAAAAAAAAATTGTTTAGGAAGGAAAACCGAAAAAACAATTGCAACAACAACAATTAAAACAACAATTAATTTATTTACTTTATTTATTAAGATTAAAATTAAAATTAAATTAAAATCAAAATCAGAGTTTATTAAAAAAGTTTATTAAAAAAAAAAAAAAACGCAAGTCCAAGAGTTGATTTCACTTGCGTTTTTAAAAAAAAGTCAAACTTTTGTTTTGTGCAAATTTTTGATGCAGTCGTTTAAAATTTAATTTTGAGTTTCAAAAAAAAAATTGTTTAGGAAGAAAAACCGAAAAAATAATTGCGATATAAAATAAGTTGATTTTTTTTTAAGAACAAACAAAATTTTAAAATTGAACAATATTTACAGGCCTTGTTATGAGATATTGTTGCGTAACGGAAAAGCGCAACGTAAATAAATGTAACTTTACTCAATAAAGATATTTAAAAGTTAAATTATGTCAGTTTTAAAATACTATTCATCATTGTAATTAAATTTAAAACCACATTAAACTGTTGTAAGTATTTGAAATGAAATACCTTTAAATTAAACAATATTTAAAAAAATTATAAATAAAACTAAAATGTTGATTAAAAAAAAATCTTATACTTATTTAAACTTATTTTTTTTTCTTTAAAACATTCGTTTTATGGTTATTTTTTTTTAAATGAGGTGACCCTTGTTATTGGTTAATTATCTTTAAGGGATTGAAATGTACTTACAACTACACAATTAGATTGGGTTTTCCCCTTTATAAAAAAAAAACCTTTGCGCTACCTAAAGCATTTTAGTAACTGGCTTTTGATAAAATAAAAATTGTAATTAATAAAGATTACTACTTTTTGGCTTTGTTTTATTTTATTTCCATTAAAATATTTTATTTTTATGTACCGTGAAACCTAATGTATTGCTACTATTTCTTACTAAATCCAAAAAGAAAAATAATACTTTTGGTTTTAAGATGTTAGTAGCAAAACTTCTTTTTAACAAATATCAGTATAATCTTGAAAGTATCTTATATATATAGCACAAGTATAAGTTATGTTTTTAAAATAAAATAAATATAAGTTGGGCTTTTAAAGAGTTTATCAATTAATCGTGTTTTTTTTAATTGGTTTAAAGTTTGGTTCGTTTTATAAAAAAATAATGAAATTCTTCTACAATCAAAAAATAAATTGAAACATATCAACCTTTTTTTTAACATTTCGGCTTTAACAAAATCTTCGCATACTACTCATAAACTAGTTAATCATTTTTAATTGATTTTCAGTCTACAATCAATGCAAAAAATTAATGATAAAGAAAAATCTTTTGTTAAAAAAAACTGAAATTAAAATAAAGTTATAAGTAATACGAACATTTTTAAGTAAATTGAATTTTTTATTTAAATTTATTATTTTTTTATTATTACAATTTATTAATTTTTTTTTTATTATTTTATTTTATTATTAAAATTTATTAATTCTTATTATCAAAATTTATTAATTTTTTTTTACTTTAACATAGTTTGGAAATTTTATCAGTAAAAAAAATTGTAAAACTGAGCATTTTAAAATTTTTAAAGAATTTTAATTAAATTTATTAAAATAAATTAAAACTATGATTAATAACAAATTTAATATAAATTTAATAAAATAAATTAAACATATTTTTTTAAAAAAATGGTAAATAGAAAAAAGTTTCTAATAAAGAAAAATATTCTACAAATGTTTTTTTACAATTAATTACAGCTTAATGTTTTCCACGTAAACTGTTATAAAAGACTATTTAAATAAACTTATTGAAAAAAGTTTTTTGCGTAACATAAATAGGGTAACGCGTACATAAAATTGTGACATCATACGTAAAATTCAAATAGTGTAACGCTTCTTTACAAGTATTTAGTATTATTTTTAAATAAATTTGAAAGTTAAGTCTACCCCAATCATTAACTTTAATTATAATAAACTTAAATATTTTTTTTAAATCAAAATTAAATAACATATTTTAAAAATCTAAATTAAATTATATAATTTTTTATCAGGATAAAATTAGATATATTTTTATAAATTAGTTTCAAATTTAATATTATATTCAAATTAAATATATCACATATTTTTTATCAGAATTAAATTGTGTTTTATAATCTTTGCTTCAAGCTTTAAAAATCTATTATTACAATAAAATAAAAACCAAATTAAAATAATCTTTAAATTTTATCTTTTTCATTAGTAAATAGCGCTTATATCAAACATAACTATCATTCAAACTTTTGTAACAAATATTTTTACATGAATGTCATTCAAAAGTTAATGTGACGTTTTTTTAAAATTAATTACTTCTTTTATCTTACCACTTATTGAATAATTTTAAAATTAAAAAATGATAAAAAATCACTTAACCATAATCGCTTAATGCTTATGTAAAATTGATTAAGGCATATGTAAATCACTCTATGTATAAGGCTTTAAAACAAGGCCTGTTTATATATATATATATATATATATATATATATATATATATATATATATATATATATATATATATATATATATATATATATATATATATATATATATATATATATATATCAGGTTTTCACAGACGTGCAATGACACATCTTTATATGACCACGCAAAAAATAATGTTTTAACCATTTGACCACAGCATATTTTCAAAATTTAAAGACACGCTACAAAAACTTACCTAAACTTATCTGAAAAAAAAAATGTAAAAAAAAAAAAAATCTTAACAAAAGAGAAAATAAAAAAAACACTTAGTTAAAGCAAAAACACAATAAAATACAAAAAAATACTAATATATATATATATATATATATATATATATATATATATATATATATATATATATATATATATATATATATATATATATATATATATATATATATATATATATATATATATATATATATATATATATATATATATATATATATATATACTCTTGCATGGTAGTTAAAAAGAGTTTCCCATAAACTGTAGTTTTAAAGAACGCGTTAATAAACCAGACCAGAAAAAGTTTAAAAACTTAATTTTTTTTTTTTTAAATGATAGACTGCCTGCCCAAACCAAACCCTCAGTCGATGTAGCAGCACTCCCTTGCGAGTCAGGCTATTTGTCAGTCGTTGTAGCAGCACTCCCTTGCGAGTCAGGCTATTTGTCAGTCGATGTAGCAGCACTTCCTTGCAAGTCAGGCTATTTGTCAGTCGATGTAGCAGCACTCCCTTGCAAGTCAGGCTATTTGTCAGTCGATGTAGCAGCACTCCCTTGCGAGTCAGGCTATAAGATAGTCGATGTAGCAACATTTACGCATGTTTTAAAAATGTTTTTTAATAAAACAAAAACAAAAACACTACTAATTAAAAAAAACTTTCTAGTCGTTATTATTGCGGTTTTTTAAAAAATTTTTAAAAAACAATAAAATTTAATGTACTTCTGCATTAATTTAATTGCTTTGACATTTTGACGACAATCAAATACAGCTTAAGAGACGAGGTAATTAAAATTGTAGTCGAAAGAGACTTTTTTTACATTAAAACGCTCTTTCGACTACACTATAAGGATATATATATATATATATATATATATATATATATATATATATATATATATATATATATATATATATATATATATATGTATATATATATAACGCAACTAAAACGAAACTCATCAAACTAAAATGCTTAGTCTATTTAACTTACGCATTAAAAAACCATTTTAATCTTTGTTTCAACATTTGTATATATTTTTTCTTTATTTAATATGTTTAAAAGTTAAACATTTCTCATAAACAATACATAGTTATATAAATAAAATAAAAAAACATTTTATTAATACTATTTTTTAAATTAATTAGAAGTTTTTTTTTACTTCAATAAAAGTGTTTCGATGATATGGAAGCATTTAAGATCAAACTTATTAAATTGTAATGGCTTTCTAAAACTTTTTTTTTTTAAAAAACTTTGTTTATCTTTTTAAATGCTTTAATTTTAATCATTCTTATATTTAAATTCGTTAGAATTTAAATATAAGAATGATTAAAGAGAGACTTTCTTAGTTGTAGAATGCGATCATTTATAAAAACAAATCAACTTTTTATTTTTTAATAACATTTATTTTAGAAATAAACACTTAAACAATTTATATGTTTTAAATATAAAAAAATATATACAACTGTCAATTATAATTAAAAAACAAAACCTTTTTTCAGTAAATTGTTACTTTATTTAAAATCCTTTCGCTAATATAAAAACATTTGTTAGGAAGTTTTGATGTAATTAATTTCACTTTTTTAGAATATTTTTTATTTAGCGCGTTTTTAAAATGTTTTTTGAATTAGACGTGGTCAAATCCTAATAGCAAAATGTAACTTGCGTGGTCACATAAAGACATGAAATCGCACGCACTCCTGTGACAGCCTGATGTGAAGTGAGGCGGGATGTGACCAGATGCCATCCCATCACCTTTTTATAAAGTATAAACCATCCTGCCACCTTTTTATAAATCTCTATATATAACAATGATTAGGCGGGATGGCATTTTAAATTTACCGAATACCATCCTGTTACTTTTATATATATATATATATATATATATATATATATATATATATATATATATATATATATATAGTATATATATATATATATATATATATATATATATATATATATATATATATATATATATATATATATATATATATATATATATATATAGAGAGAGAGAGAGAGAGAGAGAGAGAGAAAGAGAGAGAGAGAGAGAGAGAGAGAGAGAGAGAGAGAGAGAGAGAGAGAGAGAAAGACTCAAAACATCAATGAGGTTTCATGCAACTGTACAAAGACATAAAAAAATATATACCAGCATGTTTTCATTTTACACGCAGGACATGTGTATTTTGAGTCTTGTTTTAAACAAACTTCACATTGCACTCTGAAAATATATTAAAAAATAATAATTTCATTGAAACTTATTTAACAGATAAACTTAAAAAAATAAAAAGATAAACTTAGTATTTTTACTTTTTTGAATTTGTATTTTGTATTTGAACTTCTTCTTTAAAATTCTCACTTTCCAGATTAACCACTGTTATACTTTCTTCGACACATTTCTTTTTTATAACAGGATCATCACCTGTCAAATCAATGGTATCAATCAATCGTATTTTATGCTTTACAGCTGCCATTAAACTATTTTTCTATGAACAACATTTTTATCATTTTCATTTTTTATATAACTTTTTTTAAATTTGTTTTTATAATCATTTTTTAGAGTTCATTTTCTATATAATTATAAATTATATTTCATTAAATATTTATGTTTTATTTTAATGTTTAATTTCCATGATTCCACATTTGTGTGGATTAGAAAGATTTTCATAGTAACATTTTTTTTATTTTAAATATGACTTGTGGAAAAGTTGAAGTAGTAAAAGTCAAAAAGAAAAAAAATGAAACTATTAAAAATACTATTTTTATAAAATACTATTTATTGATAAGATCATAAATACCATTAATGAGGAATCTAAATTAATAAAATACAATTAAAAAATTAGTTTTTAAAAGTCATCTTTGTTTTTCTTCTTTTTTAACTGTTTACGTCTAGTCCATTTATTTCTTTTATTTTGATTTTTTTTACTTGGCAATTTATCTGTTGATTTAAGCAGCGGATTAATTTGAGAGTTAAGCAAATTACTTTGAGAATTTAAATACTTTTTGCCTAATCTCAGAGTTTTTTCCCAATCTTTTTTGTATTTTTGAAACAACTTCATAGCAGCTTGAGCATCCTCAATGGATGAATGCTCTCCGTCTTGGATATTTTCATTCAATAACTGTGCAGCAAGCTTTCGAAGAGCTGGTCTCTTAGTTTTCAATGCAACTTGAAAGAATTTGTACTTAGAAGTATCACGTATAAACTTTCTTGGATGACTAAGCATCAAAACTTTTAAATCATTTTGAAGTGCATGACCAACCAATACACGTCCCTTAATAATGTCTGCAACCTCTTTTTGAACAGTTTCATAATCAGGGGCATTTTTCAAATTTTGTGGACGAACTCCACTGAACTCAGTACGATAATCAACAACAGACTCAGTAGTGCGAACAAATTTATCATACAAACACTCCCCTAATGAGTTTACAATAGAAACTCTAGCCAACACACTTTCTTTACCATCTAATCCCACACCAACCATTTCACAATCAAGTGCTATATGTCGAGTAATATTGTCTGAAAACTTGGTTACAGGTTTTGTAGTGCCTTCTGAGGCTGTAGTGTCTTTTGAAGCGGTAATGCTTTGATTAACCTTTTGTTGTGAACTTAATAATAATGGATCAACATCATCAAACCAGATTTCACTTTCAACCTTCTTTGATTCACAATGCTCATTTTTATCAACAAATTTGTTTTTTAAAAACTTATCTTTGAGATGCTTTGTTTCTTTTCTGTAACTCTTGGTTAGATTCGTTTTCTGAGATTTTAAAAATAGTTCCCAATTTGTGTTAGCATTTTGCGATTTTGTGGTCATTTCTTTAGTTTTATCTGCTTTTTTTATTTTTTCATTCTTAATTTCTGAATTTTTGCACTCAATAGTTTTTCCCATTTTTTTTTTATAAAGCTGTAAAAATAAAATACTAATGTATACAATATAAGGCAAATACCAATTATCAATAAATATTTAGTATTGATAAAAAAATCTAATAACAATCTTAAAAAATCGAAATTACTAAATAATGAAAAAATGTTAACATATTTTTAAAATGCCATTTGGTGCAATTAGTTTATTTTGAACAGTTATTTATAAAAGATTTTTTTTATAAACCTCAGGTCATGACTGTCTGTTATATTTGCTATATATAAGTCTGTTATATAAAAGTTTGACATTTTATTACTAAAGTTACCTGAATTGTACAATAGTCTTTCAGTATATTAAATAACTAGTTTTTATATTCTATAAAAACCAAAACTTTTTCCAAGCAAAATCAACAACAACAACAACAAAAAAATGCATTTAAAAAAAAGTAAAATAGTTTTCAATTTATATATAATAATTAAAAAAATAAATACAAATTATTGTACAGAAAACATTTATATTTATTTAATACCACCTGTTGACAACCTGGTAATGTCCCAATCATTCCCCTTACCACCACCTAGCTTCCCATACCACCACCTTGTAATCATTTACCTTGACTTGTTTATCAGTAACATTTGGCAAAGGAAACATCAAAACATTAATTTTTGTTATTAGTATTTCACAACTTAGGAATTGGGAATCAAATCAAGAACTTGGATTCCCATGAAAGATGAAAATTCCTAGAAAGATTAAACTGCAAAGCATCAACCTGAAGCTATAAAAGTAATACTAAAACATTATGAGCTTTATCAATTTGCAGATGCTCCCTTTTTAAAAAACTTTTTCAAATATTAGGGAGGTAAAAGCAATATACTCCTAAAGAATATATTTTGAAAAATATTAAATATAAAAAACCATCCTCTCCATCTAAATGTTTCAATACATCTGTTACAAATACTCAAGGTCTGCATCAGTTGAACTTTACCTTTCCCAAAATTTACCAGACTTGCTGGCTTTTAGTAAAACTAATTTAATTCAGCTATTCCTTCTTCAGATCCAAGTGAACTATCCTTTGTGTCATTATTTTCTCTCTCCTGATTCCATTACGCCATTATTTTCTCTCTACCTCTACAAAACTTATTTGTCCTTGTATGGAATACTGTAACCATATTTGGCCTTGTTTTTCTAATAATGCTCTTTCACTTATAAACAAGGTCCAAAAACACATTCAATTGTCAAATTTCAAAAACAAAAATGTAGTTAGAGCTGCTCTACCTGGCAAGCTTGAGCCTCTCCCTTCCTGATATTTAAAAAAAAATGTTGACCAAAATTAGAATAAATTGATCTGGAGCTAACATTAGATTTTTTTGATTTTTGACAGACCATAAATTTGTAAATATAAAAGGAGATCACCTGAAAATTGGTATAGCAATAGTTTCTTACCCAATTAATTAATTTTTGCAGCTATTTTTGACAGACTTAAAACAATTTTTGTGTCCCTCAAAGTTGCTAATTAACACAATATTAGGAAAAGTTATGGAAACTTTTTAATGTGCTGCAGTTTAATACTAATATTGATAGACAGTACCAATATTTTGTTATTGTGTACTTAGAGTAACCATCTGTAGTAAAAATAGGAGTTATGTGTTAAATTTTAGTTTAATGCTTGCAGTAGCCCGATAATTTTTTTTTGAAAAAAATGATAAATTATACTCACTTTGCAAGCATCTTATGACATAATTCTAGCCTTTTGAGTGTGATGCATTTTTAGTTTAGGAGACTTAAAAATAATGCAAGTTATATAAGATTGGAAAAAAAGTTAAAATAAAAAGTAAAACAATGCTGAAAGAAGTGTATATACACATGAAACACAAGTACAATAATTTGTTTAATCTAGTTATTTGACACTTATTTGACAAATTACTTTGAAAACTTGGGGCAGTTAGAACATAGATAAAACATGCAGCATATTGCCAACACATACTTTCATAAAATATTTGTAATATATTAAATGGCCCTTAAGTACGGCAATAAAATAATATTAAGTATAGTAAAGCAGAGCATATCAACTTAGGATTTTGATGATAAGAGCATAGAAAAACTGAGTGACTTCTACTATTTTCAACTGTAATGCAACACTGAATCAAACTTTGTGTTTAGGGTATAACTTCTTAAGCTCCAGATAAAGTTCCTTTAAATAGACTAATACTAAGTATTTTTGTTTATGAACTTTTACATTATTTATACACACATTATTTTACATTATTTTCCTAGACATTTTATTGTGAACTCTTTGGTTCATAAATTTCATTGAACTTCTATTTAACAATATCTTTCAAAGATTACCTTTTTTAAGCCTCAGCTTTGGCAAGTATCTTTTTTTCAATTTTCAACTTTAGGTCTTTCTTAACAAGGTATTCTTATATGATACAAATGATTATAAGGCACAAAAACTATTTAAAGTCAGTCAAAAACACTTGCAAAAATAAATTATTTGGGCGAAAAACTATTACTGTACAAAATTTTAGGTGAAGTTTGACCAATCAAGCTGAAATTTTCAGTATAGTGTTTTTCATGAAGTATCTGGGTGAATAAAATATACCTTACTCTGTTAAAACTTTAACAGAGTAAAGACATTAAATGATTTGAAAGCAATTTGCAAATATAGTGTTTTAGTATCTTATAATTTTAAAAACTTAACTATCGTTCAAGATCTTGTTAGATAGTGGCATTTTAGTAGGACATGTTTTTATTAGCTTATTCATGAATGAACAGAATAATCAAACTAACTTTTTTGTTATTGCAAACTGAAAAAATTTAAGGAAACAAATAATCTTTGATTTTAATCTTTGATTAAAAGTCCAAAACAGTCAAATGAATTTGTAATTTAGAATATCAATTACCTATATAATAATTAATATGGAGTAGCTTTAAAATAGCTATTATTTTAATAGCTGACTTTTAATGACTGACAACATGCCAACAACAAGTCTACCCATTTTTTGGTTTGAACTTCAAACAAACTTTTCGCGTTGAACTTCAAGCATGAACTTAAAATATATTTGCATTAAAATAGATTTGCATTTTACATTTCATCTGTGACAAGGAATAGCGTAAATAGATAAAATTATAATTGAAAAGATTCCTATGTAAAAAATAATATAACTAAATATAAATATTACAAATAAATAATTTTTTGATTACAGAAGTCAATTTTAGAGTACACGAGGTTGACAGGTCGGATAGGTAACACTTTAATTCCGACAAAATATACCCGACAAGATCGTTAAAGCCGAAAATAGTTGACTAGGAATGGCTTTTTAAGAGCCGTGGTTTAACTCGTTATTTTTTTTAATTTTTTTAACTCTTAATTTTTAACAAAGTTTTTCGGTGGCCTATAACTCAACCTAATTTTGAAATTTCGCGAAAGTTTTGATTTGATTTTTATATTTAAATATAAAAATCAAATCAAAACTTTCGGTTGAAAATCAAAAATATCATAATCTACGGTTCATAATTCGGTTCTACGGTTCGCAAAATACATATACAAAATACATACCGGAAAGGCGTAGTTATAAAACTGAAAATACAGTAGGGTGAAAATTCAGTAGGTCAAAAGTACAGTAGGTCAACGGTTTAGTAAGTTGGAAAATTAGTAGCACTAGGTGTAAATATTTACACCTAGTATTATTAGTTATATATTATTAGTTACTGTATTTTCAGTTTTATAACTACGCCTTTCCGGTATGTATTTTGTATATGTATTTTGTTTTTAATTTGAATACGAGCCAAATTTGATCAGTCTTTTTCTAGTGGTTGAAGCGATGTCTTCAGAACTGAGAGGTATAAGGTTCGATGCTTGGAAAACTTATTGATTGTTTATTTTTAAAAAAAATTGTATCTTAAAAAAAAACAACTTTAAAAACACAGACCAGATAATCGGTTGAAAATTAACTCATCTCAAATCGGTTGAAAATGAAAATCTATTATATATGTCGAAAAATAAATCGATCAAAAACGAAAACGTCATAAATCGGTTTAAAATAAAAAAGACTATAATCAGTTGAAAACAATTTTGGCCTCAGTAGGTTATCTTGAAATTAGTCCCACTTTTTAGTAGATGTTCTTTTTGTAAAACAACCAAGTACTTCGAGATTTTTGTAGATCTAACTATCTGACACAAGTTTTTCTTATGGATGAATTTTAAATCAAGTTTAAATCTAAGACGATGACACGCTAAATATTGCTTATACGTGGTTAACGTGTTCTACATTTTTTTTTTTAAATCGCACTTGTGATAAAAATGTTTTGTCGATACTTTTATGTGCCTTTAATCATAAATATTAAGTACGTCTAGGACACTAAACAATCAAAAGTCTGAGTTTGCTAAGTTTTCTTTGGTTAACAATTATCGTTAAAAAATAAAAAATTTAATATTATTACAATAGATTGTTTAATTAAAAATATATTTACACTATACATATTAATGAAAGCAAGTATTAGAAAAAAAATTAACTTTCCTGCTAGTTTATAATTTTTTTTTGCGAGATTTCATTCCCAGTGGATACAAAACCTTTTCTGGACATCTTAAAACATCATACGGATATGGGACGTTTATAAGGCGTTATATAGATGTCTTACGGACGTCTGTGCCCGCTGGGTTGAAGCAAAATGTTTTATTGATAATGCGAAGTCAATGCTCTCAGCAAGCAAACACTCAAATAAAGTTAACTTTATTTGACTTTTACTGACATTAACTAGTTAATGCCAATCCAAAAAGATATTACTTTGTCATTGTTGTTCGCCGATAATTTTTGATCTTTAGTCTTCTAAAACTATTCTCATCATAAACATATATAAAAGGAGGAGTCAAGTCAATTTTGTAGAGAATAGACAAGTTAGGAAAACATGATGTCATCTATTTCTTTATTAAGAGTGAATGTTCGTCTTTTATTTGTAGATCAGATGTCATTGCTGGAGATATTGATGCAACACATCTTTGAAATTAGGGCCGACGCAAAATAGATTCAAGTGGGGAAAGGGTGCAATATGGGTTATTGAAAAAAACATTTTTAACACATAAAAACAAATCTAAATTTGCTCCACAATGTTAAAACCAAAGAGTTTATAATTTTTTTGTTTTTCTCCTTTAAAAAAAAAGTCGTTCACCATTAGCAAAGTCGTGATAGTTTTATGAACATCCGTCACTGTACCGTCACATTAGTTTTGATACACCAAACTATGTTAAAATTCCATTGACTGGGTACATAATGATTATAAGAGATGTTTTCTTTAAACAAAACGTTTCCGTTTTGTTTTCTGCCATAAATGCGTGCAAATTTGTAAAGCAGATATGTAAGCAATGGTTTTTTTTTTTTTTTTTTTTTTTTTACTTAAATGGATTTTTTAAAATTATATTTTTCATTTTGTAAATTTTTTTTTAAGAAGCCAGTCGGTACTTTTTGAGGATTACCCCCCCCCCTCATTTTATTTGTAGAATCGCCTCTGGTTACGACTATACCGTTGACGGTATTTTACGATTAAAATTCTTGAAAGCTATTTATCAAATATAAAGAAAAAATTAAAATCCCCTAATTTAATTGTGGGTACGATTAGAAAGAGTTTGTAAACGTAGAAAGTGTTGTAATAATCCTAATATCAGTATCATAATAAAAATACTCAGTAATAATAAATTTTGTCAGCGTATTATATCCTAACAAGAGCTTTAGATATTATTTTTTTTTTGTTTCAAGTTTATATAATTTTTAAAGAATTTTTTTTTTTTCCAATAATTTTCAAGACTTTTTAATTTCCACTAATAGTGAACTTTTTTGAGTCTTTAGATTAATTTTGCTTAACAGCGTTAATATGATTTTGTAAAAAATTAAAAACTCCGACCAAGAAAGAGTTTATTATTAAAAAAAACTCCCAATAAACAATCACGTTAGATCATATAATAATATAAATTATCATGTTCATTTCACTTAAGCAATCTATTTATTTAAAATCTTGTTCAAATATAGAAAAAGGATCACAACTTTTAGGAAATTAAAAAAAAAAAAAGATACTCTGGTCAAAGTTTTTTCGCCACAAACATTTCTAATTTATGTTACGGCAAAATTTTAAAAGTTCTATCATTTTATTTTTCTCGTCTTTTTATAATTTAGAGACCTAATCATTTAATAAATTTATGTCGTGGGAAGCAAAAAATCGTCTTAGTTACACCATTCCATACAATTACCACATTCCACAATTATTTTTAATATATAATTTTTTGTCGTTATGTTTTCAAAATTGGCAATATCTGATGATCAATAATTTGTATGAAACTCTGAGTTATGTATAAAATAAATCGCGTTTTTTTATTATTTAGTTTATATATACCCGGGTTCGAAGCGAGCTTTATTTTGCGCCATGGGTAAGGAAGTAGGTGTGAACTTTCTACTTAAATGCTCTTATGCGGTGCTTTGTGTCAAGATGTCTTCTTGGGGGACTTTAAACAAAAATTTATATATATACACACACACATATATATATATAATATATATATATATATATATATATATATATATATATATATATATATATATATATATATATATATATATATATATACACATACATACATATATACATATTTAGTTATAAGAATTAGATTTAGCTTATGACTATTCCAATTAAGTGTGGTTTAAAAAAAACAGATTTGTAAACCTCCTGATTTTTGTAAAATCTTGTTATATTTTATTTTATTTTTTTTAATATCAGTTTTCATTTAATTAATAATGAACAATTGATTACAATTTTAACTAAAAGTTAGTAATTCTGCTCAGCATCTTCTTCATTGTCGGGTTGTGTTTCAAGACCAACTTCTTCATAATCTTTTTCTAAGGCTGCCATATCTTCTCTTGCTTCTGAAAACTCCCCTTCTTCCATACCTTCTCCGACATACCAGTGTACAAATGCTCTTTTAGCATACATCATATCAAACTTTTTATCCAAACGCGCCCATGCTTCTGCCATTGCGGTTGTGTTGCTCAACATACACACCGCACGGTTTACGCTTGCAAGATCACCAGTTGGTACTACTGTTGGAGGTTGATAATTTATGCCTACCTTAAACCCTGTCGGACACCAGTCAACGAACTGTATAGTACGCTTTGTTTTGATAGCAGCAATAGCAGCATTAACATCTTTAGGCACAACGTCTCCTCTATACAAAAGACACACAGCCATATATTTTCCATTTCTAGGATCACACTTTACCATTTGATTAGCTGGCTCAAAACAAGCATTAGTGATCTCAGAAACTGAGATCTGCTCGTGGTGAGCTTTTTCAACTGATAGAACCGGAGCGTATGTTGCCATTGGAAAATGGATTCGAGGATATGGCACTAGATTTGTTTGAAATTCTGTTAGATCAACATTAAGTGAACCATCGAAACGAAGTGAAGCTGTAATAGATGACACCACTTGGCTTATAAGCCGATTGAGATTAGTATAGCTTGGTCTTTCAATATTCAGGTTTCTCTTACAAATATCATAGATGGCTTCATTGTCAACCATAAACGCACAATCAGTATGCTCAAGAGTAGTATGCGTGGTCAAAATAGAGTTGTATGGTTCAACAACAGCTGTACTTACTTGTGGCGCTGGATAAACTGCAAACTCCAGCTTAGATTTTTTTCCAAATTCAACTGACAACCTAAATCAATGTTTTAAAATCAAATATTTGAAAACTTGAAACTTAATTTTTAAAATATGTCTAGACATGTTTGCTCAATTTGTTGTGCTTTGTATTGAAATTTATTTAAAAAACTTAAGACAAACCTTTCCATCAAGAGAGAAGTAAACCCTGAGCCTGTTCCCCCTCCAAATGAATGAAAAACAAAGAACCCTTGCAGACCAGTACATTGATCAGCAAGTTTTCGGACGCGGTTCAAAACACCTTCTAAAAGATTTTTTCCAACTGTATAGTGACCTCTAGCATAGTTATTTGCAGCATCTTCTTTTCCAGTAATTAACTGCTCTGGATGGAACAATTGACGGTATGTTCCGGTCCGCACTTCATCTAAAAAGTTTTATTTAGATAACTTAGATAAAGTTAATGTTTTTTAGTAATAATATATAACTACATTTAATGTTATTTCTTTTTTATTATAATGTATTATAAATATAATGAGTAGAATATAAAAGTAATAAGAAAAAAATAATAAAGAGGATTTATAAAAAAACTTTTAAAAATTATATTTTAAAAAATTTTCTAAAAGAACTCATAAGTAACAACCTTTTTTAAGTTATTAAAAACACCAATCACACTTTTACACACAAACAAAACACTTTTACAGATTATACTGTAATTACTTTATAAAGGTTTTCAAAACTGAAATATTCAAAACTATACCTACCAATTACAGTGGGTTCAAGGTCACAAAATATTGCTCTTGGTACATGTTTGCCAGCCCCAGTATCTTGGAAAAAAGTTGAAAAGGAATCGTCTTCGGATTCTTCTTCATTTATCATTCTTCCATCTGGACTAATTTTATGTTCAAGGCAGTATAGTTCCCAACATGCATTGCCAATTTGTGAACCGGCTTGCCCAACATGAATTGATATACATTCTCTCTATAAAAATATATTTAAAAAGTAATATTTCATTAATAATTATATACTAAATTAATGATTAGCATTTTTTTAATTGATCATATTTTTAACATATATGCACAAACATATATACAGAAACTAAATTTTGTTAAAATACAATTTGATCAGATTGCAAGCAAAAAAGAAGCTAAGAACTCCAGCTAAAAAACACTCCAGCTAAGAAATTATGGAGAGTTGAAAGAAAACTTAAATTTCCTAAAGAATAACAAAGACTACTTAAAAAAGCTTCAAAAAAATTATTTTTTTTCTAGAATTTTGTTGTTGTATTTATCATATTGATTATTTTTCAATTGAAAAAAAAATTGCAATATAAAATTAGATGTCCTGTTGTGAAAGAGAGGAGAAAAAAGAGGGGTAGTGGCGTTAAAATAAATATACGTTACGAAATATGTTTTTTTCATCGAGTGAAAACACCGCATCCAAATTTATGTGCTTATTTCTATGTTTGATATATGTAATTTTTTGTAACCCTGTTCAATCTTTTGAGGTAATTAAAAATTTTGCTTTAAAAATAATTTCATTATTAAAATTACTTTATTTGAAAGCCAATAACCTCCTAAACTTAGTTTCCCCTTTAACTATGTTTCCCCCTAAACTAAGTTAAGAGCAATAGTTTTCGCGCAGTTTTTTTATTTTTTTTGTTTCTAGGCTCTAATGAAATAGTTGCAAGGTAATATTACTTTTTTTTTTTTAGTTTCTTTAATAATTATTGTTTTTTTGTATATATATTTTCAAAAAATTTAGAGCTTTGATCCAAAAATTGACAATTTATGTTAAAGTAATAAAACAAAAGGTTAAAAAGTGGAAACTAGGTTTTAAATAAGGTTTGTGATTGGTTAAATTTTGTAAATTTTTGAAATGTCATTAACTCTAATTAAAACAGTTTTAAAATTTTATGAACCACCTAGAGTAAAAGATCTCTAACCCGCCCCTTCATTGAACTCGCGGTAATTTATTTTGTTCTTACACTTTTGGAATTGAAAATAGCTATGATGTATATCAAATAAGTATATACAAAAAATAGTATATGATGTATGTTAAATTGAAGCTAGATTAACGTAAAAACTCAAAATATAAAGTAAAAAAAAAATTGTTACAAAATCTTGTTAAACTTTTTGATTAGATTTAGGAACAATTTTTTTATATTTTAAATTTTGACATTTTACGTTAATCTAGCTTCAATTTAACATACATCATAACTATTTTCAATTCCAAAAATATAAAAAATAAAATTACCCAGCGTTTAATTTAGGTTTAATAATACCAAAATATATTGATAATAACTACAACTATCAATAATTTTTTATACGTTTTTTATTAGCAAAAATTATTACTTTTTTTCGAACAAACTAAATATGTCTCTCAAGGTTACAAAAACTTATCAGAAGTATTTGTATGTCAAAATTTTTCTCAGATTTTGTAAACGTTTGATGCATTGTAAACTAATAGGTTTTTGGATTATAATATGGCCTTAGTTAAGTTATATTAATGTATTAATTGGCCATAAATTAAAATATTTTTTTATCTTAAAAGAATTATTTGTACAGACTATTTTTTTGATGACAAAATTAAAATTCTGCTATTGCATTAGTAAATTAGCCATTTTAACTAACTTTAAAAAAATTTCAAGTCTCTAACTTGCAACTTTCAACAACTTAGTGGTTGTTTTTTAATCTAATTTAATAACTTTTTAAATATATTTAAGAAAAAAAACCTTTTAAAAAAAGCAAACTTTTTTTACTAGTCAACTAAAATTGAATCTTATAATAAGCGAACTTACCATTTTTTTTGGCGAACTGGAAGTAAAGCAACGTACTTGGCAAGTCACACCTTTGGAATAAGCTTTATTTTTAAAGCAATATTTCGAAGTGAGAGGTATGAATAATTTATTATGAAAATTATCAGTATTTACTTATTTATCAGAACACCTTATGGAAAGCATTATAATTTCTTTTTTGTATAACATTTCACTAAATTTCATTGTGATTTTTTCAGAAAGCTCAATTGAGAAGTTCTCCCTAAATCTAAACCAAACCTATTGTAGAATTCGAAAGCTCTGTGGAAAAATAAACTAAACAGCTAATCTATCCTATTTAATTTTTAATTGAAAATTACTATAAAACTTTTTAAATATTGTTTTTGGAAAACAAAAGCTGTTTTATGATTGGAAGTACAATAGAACATTTTTTCCCAAACTACCAAACCTCTTTCCATCCTACCAAATATATAAAAATATATATATATTTTTTTTTTATTAAGATTTCTTAGAATATTTAATTTTTTTTTTATAACTTCTATTTTATTTTAAATAATTTTGCAAGAATATGTTATCTAAAAACTATATTTACTCTTTTGCTTATAAACATTTTCAGATTTCCAAATATTGTTCGGAAAATTTGTTAACAGATGGTGCTAAAATAAAAGACGGGGGTGTTTTACGAACAGTTTAATTGAATTAAAAACATGCTGTTTCTCACAAGCCCTAATAAGTGTAATGTTTTTAATTGTTATATAAATACCATGGCATATACAATTAAATGTAATCCAGATATTTAAAATGAACAAGTCAAATAATAATTCATACCAGAAAGTTTCTACTTTTTTTACTCAGAAAAATATCTTATTAGTAAAATGTTATAAGTAAACTGCGCATAATATAGTGCTTACAAAAAATATAAAAAAAACTTAATGTTGAAAAAAATAATTCTCTTCCAATTTTTTAGTAAAAAAAATTTAAAGACACAATAATTTTTTTTGGAAATTTTTATTGGATTTCGTTTAGTAACTACCAAGTTAGCAGTTATTGGATTTCGTTTAGTAAGTACCAAGTTAGCAGTTACTTGATAAATCTGAGCATGTTGCTTTTTGGCGAGACACGCACCTTGTTGCTTTCGTAACTAAGATAAAACTTTACGTCACAAAAATAGGTTTGTCTCGACATTTAATTATATATTCAATTTCCAGGACTATAACATATAAATCCTACATTAAACACCAAGAAATCATGCAGAATAAAAAATCAAGATTAACTCTTAAATGAGACAGAAAGTTTAAATAACAAAGAAAGAGCAACAACACATTTTTACTTTAATGAAAAAATTGTTTGTAACACGAAAAAAAAAAAAACTCATAACACAAAAAATTTACTTTCTATCTTTTTTTCAGCTCAAAATAGCAATGACTATTTAAATTTCGTTTAACTTTTTCTTTCTTTATAAGTTAAACTTAACTTAACCTTTTTCTTTTTAACTTAACTTTAAATTAACTTATAAAGAATAAGTTTAGCATATTCTTTCACCGAAAAATGTATAACTATTTATAACTGTACAGTAGGGTGTCCCAAAAACACACATTTTTTAAAATTTCAATGTGCTCTCAACTGATCCCCATTCTATAGGTCCTAAATAGCTACCAAAATCTTTTTTTTAACTTTTTAATGACTAGAAGTGATAGATGTAAATTCTGAGTTTTACGGTTTTGTACACATATGTGTATTTACTAAAAAACAGCGCTATCTAGTATTTCAATATGTTTTAATATGATGTAATAATTAGTACACAAATAATTCTCATAGGATATCATTAAAGAATAGGATCATTCCCTATGAACATTGTTAGCGATTGATATTTTTCCCTCTGGACAATATTATTGTTGTATAATTCCCCATGGATTGGTTCACAAATAACTCCATTTAGAAATTTTTTTTGAAGGAAAAAATTTCTAAATGGAATTATTTGTGCACGACGGAATTCTAATTTGTGCACGAAGAAATTCTCGTGTAAACGGTTATAAAAGCCGTAACGGTAAACTTAGATAAAATATTATACGAGAGGGAATAACGACTTCATAAATTTTTGATGCAAGTGTAACATTTAGTAAAAATTTAGTTAAAAAACTGATTATTTCGAAATTCAAATAAAGATAAGTAGAACAGCTAAAAAAAAGAAGATGATAGGACAGAATAAGAAAAAACGGAAAAATACAGAAAGGTTGAGGTATATTTACCTATTGAAGTACCCACTGAGGGAGTTACCTCAGAGACACCTAATGGTGATATTCTTAGATACTATCAATTTATCCTTCGCGAGTCACAAGTTAAATACAAACCCACTTCTACTAATGTTGGTTGCAAATTGAAATCGAAATCCAGGGATCTTGTTTGTGAAAATGGTGTTTGTACAGATCCTGATAATTCTTGCTTGGTATCTAGGATTAAAAAAATTTGGAATAATGCTGGGTTTGGCAAAAAGTTTGTGATTTGTGGGTACAATATAAAGGCCAAAATCATTAAAACTTAATTTAAAATACAAGAAATTGATTAAACTGTCTTCTTTAAACTGGAACAGCAGTCTTGATAAGCGATCAAAGTTAGAGAAAGATTTTCTCACAGAATCCTATCAGCTTTTTGACATTTCGACTAAGAATTTTAAAAAAGACATTCTTGCTGATAGATTGAGAACAGATGAGGCCAAGCTGGAAGATATAAAGTAAGTTTATTAAATAACACTTTTTTTAGTAGTGAGATTTTTATTCCAATTAAAAGTAACTTAAGTAATAGCATATTATTTCCTTTGAAATATTTACGTTTAACTCTTTACATGGTTTGGTCATCTTCCAAGAAAAACTAGAACAATTATTAATTTATTTATAAATGGCTTGATAGATTTAAATATTTCTTAGTTTTTATGAAGACCAGAAGTTACATAGGAAAGGATATATGGAAACAAAAGTCGATGAAGACTACAGTAGAAGAGTACTGGATGCAAACAGGAGAAAGAACAAGCCAGATAAGTTGAGAGAGAAAGAATTAGAGAGACAGAAAAACTTAAAAGATATCAATGATGTTTTGTTGTCACATGACTCCATGACAAAAGAGATTCAATTCAGCAGTGAGGAAGAAAAGTCAAACGAGGACTCTAAAATCAGCGAGGAAGATGATTTCCTGGGTAACGGTTGGAAACGCAGGTATAGTATTATTTTAATAACATAGTTGTAATTTTCACAAGCTAAAGCTGTTTTATTGAAAAGTATATAACTATAAATAGGTAGAAAAATATTATAAAATGATACCTAGGTACAATTCTGGAGATAGGATAAATCTAGCAGTGAATGTTGAAAAGCTCATTGAATGTACTGCTATTCCAGCAACAAGGTTCAATGTTAGTGTAGAACCTCATCTGACAATTTTAAGTGAAGTATTTAAAGCTGGAGGTATAGAAATTAATGATATACCGCTTTCACGAAGCACACTTCATAGAAAAAAGTTCAAATATGTAGAACTTGAAGGAGACTCGGAGTGGATTTCAATATCTAATCATCTTAAAGGCCGACGGCTTATTCTTCATTTTGATACCAAACTGTTGGAACAAATTACCACTGGGCTTAACATTATTCAAAAAATTGAGCGACTTGCAGTCTCAGTGAGTTCCCCGGATGACGATACCATGGAAGACCATCTTTTAGGTGTTGTTCAATGTCCCTCTTCAAAGGGAGTTGACCAAGCAGAACAAGTGCACAATCTTTTAGAATATTACGGATGTAAAGAGCAGATCATTGGTATATGCTGTGATACAACTGCAAGCATTACAGGCGGAGTAAATGGAGCAGTCCAAATTCTTACAGATATTTTGAAATTACCAATTTTGTGGATAATGTGTAGGAGACACATATATGAAGTACATGTATCTCACTATATGGCTGCCCTTACTGGTGAGAAAACTAAAGGTCCAAGAAGAGCTCTTTATGTCAAGCTAAAGAACAAGTGGCCTGAAATCTGTGAGAAAGTGAATGAAGTAAAAAATTTATGAAAATTGGACTGGCAAAGAGATGATCTGAAGATTGGCTCTGTTCTTCGCACTGTTGCAGAGGAAGCTAAGACATTTTTGACTAATGCAACTACTGATATAGTGTTTTCAAGGAATGATTATGGTATAGTTTGTAAGTTTGCCTCCATCTTCCTTGGAGTGGAAGTACAAGATTTTAAGTTCCATCAACCTGGCACCTGCCATGAGGCAAGGTTTTTAGCAGATGCGATCTAGATCCTGACTCTTTATATGACTAAAGATATCAGTAATATCTTGACAGAAAAAGAAATGCTGCAGTTGAAGGATGCAAGTTTGTTCATTGCAATTTGCTATGTTCCATGGTTTTTAAAAAGTTTTTTAGGATTTCTGGCTCCCTACAATGATTTGAAAGCTATCCAGACAGCCTATGCATTGAGAAAAGTTAGTAAGAATATTGGAAATGCTTTGCTTCTCAGCATGGGACGCCATACGTGGTACTAACTCCGCAACTCTGTGTGTTTTCTTTTGGGGATAAAGAAGTTCCTTCTGAAACAAAGCTAAGAATGCTGTTAGCTCTGATTGAGTTTGAAGAGCCAAATGAATTTCAGCGTTGTAAACCATCAAATGTACAAACTGGAGAGACCACAGAGCTACCTGAGTTGATTTCCGAGCAAAGCTACCTTCTCTTCAAACATTTTAAAATATCAAGAGCAAGTATAAAAGAATGGCTTAATAATAGTCTTAATACTATAGATGTTTTTAACCATCCTCAGTTGCTAGATTTTATTGCATGGATCAAAAACATATCTGTTGTAAATGATGGTGCAGAAAAAAACATTAAGCTCATTAAAGATTTTATTTCAGCTACTAGAGATGAAGATCACCTTCAAAATGTACTTTTTGTAGTTAAAAAGTCTAGAAAAAACTTGACTAAGACTATGAGTAAAAAGAAGCTTGGTAACTGTTTAAAAAGTTGTATTTTTGTGAAAATGTTTCACCGCAATAAAATCTTAAATTTGCTAATAAATATTAGTGTTCATGTATTTTTTTTGTATTTTCATATTTATAAATATAATCTATCAAGTTAAATAGTAGAAAACAATTGGAAATGATTTATACCCATCTAATTGTTTTGTTTTAATTTTCTAAAATGTGTT